TTTTAAACCGCGCTTCTGTCTCCGCGCTGTTGTCGCCCTGTTGATGACGTCAGCTACGCAGTTTAGTCGAGCGCGGTTTTGTGGTGGAACCCTTGATTGCAGTGAGTCACTGTGTAATGATGCTTAAAATATACAATAATGTTGGAGACGCTAGGCATGACTGTAAGAATTAGTACATTTATTGGGGTCTCTGCATTTACATAAATTGTTAATTGTCTTTCTTCTAGTTTTCCTTCCAAGATAAGGGATGGGGCGCATCACTTGCTAATAGATTAGCTAGGTAAGAAATACTAGCGTTGTGTTTATTAGTCTTACCTCCCATCTTGGCGGTTGTTTTGTCACATTGGGAGGAAACCCACCGCCAGAATGTTTCAAATGATACTTCTCTCCAGGCTGCGTTCTTGATGACGTTCTCATCTGGCACATAGGGAATTATAAGAGATCACAGTAAAATTAATATTTCTCTACATGCAAATGTTATACTCCTTCCTTTTTCTTTTTTGCTGTTATTAATCTAACCGTGTTTGATGGCTCCTTTGGCATCCCACCCACACTTTGTTGTCGATGAGTTGCCAGCCTCACCATGAAATCAAGTGCGTGGCAGGGCAAAACACACTTTTATTGAGATTGCGGTGAATCTCAATACAGAGGTGGTCTGCCTAAGCCACTTCTGAATGGGATCTTATTCCTTTGGACTTAAACAGTGTTCCCTCCCCTTTTGCCTCGCCAACAATTCCTGCATATCTTCCTCCAGGTGGTCTCCCTTATAGTCTACAATTGTGTTCTCCCACCAATTTTTAAACAATTTCTAAAAGCTCTACTCTACCGCTTCGAATTTATAATGCCGAGTAATGCCTGGAGATTGATTAAAAACATAAAGATAATGATTGTTCTGCATGCTAAATAAGATTTGACAATAAGAAAACGTGTAAGAAGTCTGGGTAGAAATAATGAAAGATACAAAAAGCTTCTTTTCGACATGGAGTATAGTACATTATGGAGAGGAGAGGAAGTCAGATTCCTGCTAAGTACTGAACCAATTTGACTGGTAGTATGTATCAGTGAATTCTTTGGGACTAAAACTCTGAATAACTCATATGGAATACACTACTGAATAATTCTCTGACCAATCTTTACCATTTCAAGATGTACATAATGAGACACATAGAGAGAAACACATTTTATTTTATACGTGTACTCTTTTTAGAAAATGTGACGTCTTCAATCGTGGACTCTCTGGCTACAATACTAGGTGGGCTAAAATTGTTCTTCCAAGATTAATCAACCAAGACCATAATGCTGAAAACATCCTGGCGGTAACTGTCTTCTTCGGGGCAAATGACAGCGCTTTGAAAGGTATAGAACATTTTGATTCTTCATCCTACTCTTTTAAACCGCCTCCTGCCGATCACCTCCCATAGACCGATTAGATCACACAGGTTAGGCCTTCTCCGGATCCCATCTGCCAGCCAGTGTCGGCTGGCGACTCCCCGGGGGAGAGCCTTCTCTGTTGCAGCTCCAGCCCTCTGGAACGATCTCCCCGT